TGTACCCTCTTGAGCGTTCAGAGTATCCTAACATAATACACTTCTGTGCCTTAGAATCAAACTTGTTCAAATAATTCTTTGTATTTAACATATAGCAAGTACATCCAAATGGATGAAAATACGAAATGTTGGGCTTTCTGTTCTTCCACAATTCATATGGAGTCTTTTCCAGAATAGGTCTTATTGAGATTCTATTCTGAATGTAGCACGCTGTGTTTATTGCCTCTGCCCAGAAAGTCTTAGCAACGTTTGTCTCATTGATCATGGTTCTGGCCATTTCTTGCAATGTTCTGTTCTTTCGTTCTACAACTCCATTTTGTTGGGGAGTTCTAGGACAAGAGAAATCATGCAGAATGCCTTTGTCATTAAAGAATGACTCAAACTCTTTATTTTCAAATTCTCCACCATGATCACTTCTGACTTTAACGATTCTAAGATCTTTTTCATTCTGAACTTGGTTACAGAAGGTAACAAACACAGAGTGTGACTCGTCCTTATGTCTTAAGAACTTTACCCATGTCCATCTGCTATAGTCATCTACGATTACTAACCCATACTTCTTGCCACTGACTGAAGCAGTTTTAACTGGTCCAAATAAGTCAATGTGCAGAAGTTCTAATGGCTTAGAGGTAGAAACAACATTTTTGGATTTAAAAGAAGGTTTTGCAAATTTGCCTTTCTGACATGCTTCACACAGAGCATCTGAATTGAACTTCAAATTTGGAAGTCCTCTGACCAGATTGAGTTTGTTAATCTGAGATATTCTTCTCATACTAACATGCCCCAATCTTCTGTGCCAGATCCACTGCTCGTTGTTAACAGACAGAAGACATTTTACATTCTGACTCTTTAGTTCAGAAAGTTTGATTTTGTAAATGTTGTTTTTCCTCTTTCCATTAAACAGGATAGTCCCATCTTTCTGACTAACAGCTTTACATGATTTTTGATTAAAGATTATATCATAACCGTTATCACTTAATTGACTTATGGATAGCAGGTTATGCATCAATCCATCTACTAGCAGAACATTATTAATAGAGGGAAGATTTCCGTTACCTACAGTTCCAGAGCCAATAATCTTTCCCCTCTGATTGCCTCCAAAGCCAACGTGGCCTCCAGGCTTAAGTTCCAGGCTTTGGAACATATGCCTTCTTCCCGTCATGTGTCGTGAGCAGCCAGAGTCCAGGTACCATGACTGGTGTTTCTGACTTGCTGCTAAAGATATCTGCAACATGTATTATTTTATCCTTAGGTACCCAGATCTTCTTGGGTCCTGATTTGTTAGTTTTACCAAAACTCTGGTTGAATTTTGGTTTCACAGAGTGCTTACTGCTAGTATATTTTATGTCATGTGTGTGACCATACACAAAGTGTGAATTTAAAGGAGTGTGTTTAATGGTTAAATCCATGACATTCTTAGGTGTAGGAACCTTACCTAGGTATCCTATTCCTTTCCTGCCGTTTCTGCTAACTCCATAGATCATTGAAGCCATTCTGCTTCTATCTATGCTTTTAGCAAGGAACTTCTGGAAACTATGATCATACTCCTTGATGATCTCATCAGCGTTGCTGGGAGTTTCAGGAATTGGTTCCTTCTGAGAGTTTTGTAAAGAGTTTTCTAATTTTGAAATTTTATCTTTCAGCTCAGAGTTTTCCAATTTGAGACTCTCAGACTTATTAGAGTCAGATTCAAGAGTCCTTTTCAGGTCTCTGAATTTAGCTCTAATCTGCTGATAACGTTCCAGAATTTCATTGAGGCTTTCAGCAAGTTCAGCCTTTGTAAAATTAACAGCGAAGTTAGGGAATACCTCTTCTGTGTCTGATTCTGAGTCTGATTCAGAAGCTTCACTGTCATCTGGAATGTTAGCCATGAGCGATATGTTTTCCCTTTCATCATCTGATTCTGAGTCAGCTTCAGACGAGTCAGAGTCATCCCATGTGGCCATGAGACTTTTCTTCTTTTCTCTTCCATACTTCTTTTTGGGCTTTTCCCTCTGAAGCTTTGGACAGTCACTCTTGTAGTGTCCTTGCTCATTGCACTCGTAGCAGATGATGTCTTTTGTGTTTGGCTTCTTGCTACCGGAGGAGCCTTCAGATCTTCTGTATCCAGAGGAAGAATCTGTCCTTCTGTATCTGGAGGAAGACTCGTTCTGATCAGATCTTCTGGGATTCCTGAACTTCCTTTGTCTTTGCTTCCACAGTTGATTTACTCTTCTGGAGAGAAGGGAAAGTTCGTCTTCTTCTGATGAGGATCCATCAGATGTTTCTTCAACTGCCTGCAAAACTTTAGATTCAGATTTTCTGTTAGATTTTAAAGCTAAAGGCTTACCTTGCTTCTGAGGCTCATCAGCTTCTAGCTCTATCTCATGACTTCTGAGGGAGCTTATAAGTTCCTCCAGAGTGATTTTGTTGAGATCTTTCGCTAGCTTCAGAGCAGTAACCATAGGCCTCCACTGCTTGGGTAAACTTCTGATTATCTTCTTGACATGGTCAGCAGTAGAGTATCCTTTGTCCAGAACTTTGAGACCAGCTACCAGAATCTGGAATCTAGAGAACATAGTTTCAATGGATTCAGATTCTTCCATTTTAAACGCCTCATACTTCTGAATGAGCGCCAAAGCTTTTGTTTCTTTGACTTGAACGTTTCCCTCATGCGTCATTCTGAGAGAATCAAAGATGTTCTTAGCTGTGTCTCTGTTGGAGATCTTTTCATACTCAGTATAGGAGATGGCACTGAGGAGGATGGTTCTGGCCTTATGGTGATTCTTGAAATCACGCTTTTGTTGATCAGTCATTGATTTTCTTTCAATCTTATGACCAGTTGCATTCACAGGGTGCATGTATCCATCTGTCACCATATCCCACAGATCAGCATCATGTGCTAGAAAGAAGCTTTCAATTCTGTCTTTCCAGTAATCAAAGTTTTCTCCATCAAAGACTGGAGGTTTGCCGCTGAATCTGTCTCTGTCCTCATTGGTGTCATTGCTGAAATGAGAGTTGTTTCCTGCCATTGTGTTTTTCTGACGCTGGATCTTGTACTGACACGGTTAGGTGTTTTAGCTCAGAACCAGGCGCTCTGATGCCAATTGAAGGGGTGAAAAACACAAGAAGGGGGGGTTGAATTGTAAAACTGGAATCTTAACGCAATTGACAAGATATTTTTATCCTGGTTCGTTTGATCTCAAACTACTCCAGTCCACCCGTCAAGGTGATTTCGCCTCTCTCCAACGAGGTCTTAATTCACTATATTCAACTGAATACAAATCTGCTTTAACAACTGCTAAAGCCTTCTTGATTCAAACCACAATCCGGTTTGTCAAGGCAACACTTTCTTACAAAGGTATAAAACAAATGTGTGTGAATGTTTTCTACAAAACTATATCACAACTGTGATGTATACACAAATTAAGCTTAGAAACTTAGATTGCTAAACACTAATGGAGTATCAGAGTTTGTTGGTTTAGCAAAACTGGTAGATGAAGATTATTGTTCAGCTTTGTGCGTGTAGAGAGTTTGGAAGCATTAGCCATGATAATCTTCGAAACCTTGTTTATATAGCACTTGAGAAGATGAACGTTGAATGCAATATTCTTGATTCAATGCTAATAACAAGCTTTCCTTTTTGAGCAGATCTTGTCTAGAATGATGCCGTTGGAATTAATTAGCGTTCAATGCACAGTACCGTTGCTTCTTCAATGCACGTTCTGGCTTGGCTCATTCTGATTCTGCTTCGCTGCTGATGAACTATTGTTTCTGTATCAGAGTGTTTACGTGCAGTTCTGTTCATCAAGCTTCAGCATGTACGTGAGTTGATCATCTGATCTTCACGTTCTGATTCAGCAACTTCTGATGCTGGTGTTTCAAGTCAAGTTCTGATGCTGAATAAGTGATCTTGCTTATTTTAATCAGCATATCTGCAAGTCAGAGCATAGTATTTTTAGGCAGCATATAGTTCAAACATGAAACATATAAATATTGTATCTTTTCACTTTGTTATCATCAAAACTTAAATATAGGGTACTAGATTCAAACATTGTTCTAACAGATTGTTCAAGTTAGTCACTCTGGTTAGCATTCTCCCCATGGTATTAGAGTGTTTCTCCTTCAATGCCTTCTCCATCAAGAAGCATCTCATAAGCTGGACCTCTAGCAAAGATGACAGTTAGGGTGGAGACAGGGCATAAAGCATCTGATAATTGACTGAGATGTTCTTAGAAAAGGAAAAGTAATGATCAGCAAAAACTGTGGCATCAAAGGTTGGGTTGCTCCACAAAGGAGTCTTAGTAGGAGTTGGACCATCCTCCAATCTCTCCGCCCTGGGCCTGGCCTCTTGAATCACTAATGGTGCGGAGAGACCATCTTCACGTTTGGGAATCTTGGGAGGAAAAATCTCTACCGCCCTCTAAGATTCCCTTGAACCGCTTGCGGAATGATAGAGGGGCCGCAAGGAAAGAACCACATCGCCCGATGCTTAACCATATGCATTTTCAGTAGGAGCTCTCATCTCTCAGCAAGAGATACCATCATTATTTAGCCTACATATAACAAGCCAATTATAGCATGCTCGTACAAGGGGAATGTCAATCAAAATATGTATATTTACTCTTACCTAAGTACTCATTCAGTTCATTATCGTCTTCATAGTCCCGAACAATAAGGGTGTTGTATTCTATGGGGAAAAAGCATTCCAAAGTCTGGATCACTTTGCGGTCCAATAGAGAGAGGATATGTGAGTCCACCCTCACAATGGATTTAGGATTAGGATTCCAATAAAAAGTGAACAAGGGTTCGCCTCTCGCTCCTACCATGATAGGGGATGTATGGTTTACACCCCTTATTCGAGCAAATTTGTCTTTCCAATCTTCATAGGGATTGGCAAATGGATTTACAAAATGAACCCCAAGGAAATGATGTAAAGTCACCTAACCACTGTTGGGAAGAGACTCCGTCTGGAAAAATTACATAAGAACCCTAACAGAGAGTGGCACCCGTAGATGAAA